TTAATTGTAGCTGTATCGGTAGCATAAGTTACAGATCAAGACGTTTATTAATTGTAGCTGTATCGGTAGCATAAATTTAGATCAAGATGCTCATAACTGTAGCTTTGTCGGTAGCATAAGTTTAGATCAAAACGCTCACTAATGTAACTGTGTTGGTAGCATAAGTTTTAGATGAAGACGCTCATTAACTGTAGCTGTGTTGGTAGCCTAAGTTTTAGATCAAGACGCTCATTAATTGTAGCTGTGTTGGTAGCATAAACTGTAGAGGAAAAATCGAGCCATGTTCTAATTGGGTGGTCTTCGAATTATCCTCATCACCATAAATTTCGAGGATTAAGTTTCGAAAGGAGTTGGAATGAATAATATCGGCTGAATCGTCTTTGATTCTTCCTCATAAACTTCGAAGAGATTCAATAACAGCTCTACCTAGGAGCGTGAATAATTCCACAGACGATACTGGGTTCAGATTTGTAATTTTAGATATACTTGCCGCTTTGAAATCGGCATTAAAAACGATCGGGATTTTCACGTGGCTCGCCGCATTATTGGTACAAAAGGCGTTAATATGAAACGCATTGTGAAAATGTCCGACGCAAAGTTGAGGCTGCGAGGGCGAGGATCGGGCTTCCTTGAAGGGAATATGAAGCAGGAGTCGGATGAACCGCTGCATCTATGCATATCATGCGTGGACCCGGTTGGGTAGGTGGGGATGGTCGTGAATCGGGCATGTTTTGTATCTTGGGAGCTTCGACCTAAGATACTCTATCTTTGAGCGAAACATGATTTTAGTATATCGTTTGTCGTAAATGGTGGGGGAAATAATCCCTAGATCGGAATAATTTACCCGCAGGTACCGTACAGCTATTAGGGAAGTTGAAAGGCTGTTGGAAGGCATCTACGAGGAGTATCGAAACTATTGTGAGGACTACGGCTTGGAATACCCTGAGAACTTAACCGTTGTGATGAAAGAGCACCCGTTGCTGGCGAACTCGGGTTCGGGAAGCAACAATACGATCAATGGAAGTGCTGCTAGAGACACGCTTGTGTTACAAAATGGGGTAGATGATGATGGTGATGATGTGGGTTGGCATGGAGGCGAGTTCTTTCCGAGAGGATATTATA